ACCAACTTGGTTAAATTTATTCTTAGGTATTTTTTTTTATGCAATTGTTTTCTTAATCTTTCTGGTAGTTCACTGTTAGTGTATAGAAATGCAACTGGTTTCTGTATGTTGATTTTGTATACTGCAACTTTACTGAATTTAATAGTTCTAACGGTTTTGGGGGGGAGTCTTTAGGATTTTCTATATATATAATGCCAAGCCATATGCAAATACAAACAGTTTTACTTCTTCCTTTCTGATTTGGATGCCTTTTATTTATTTTTCTTATCTGACCACTCTGGCTAGGACTTCCAATACCATGTTGAATAAAAGTGGCAAAAGTAGGCATCCCTGTCTTTTCCCTGATATTAGAGGAAAAACTTTCAGCTTTTCTCCACTGAGTATGATGTTAACTGTGAGCTTTATTATGTGGGCTTTATGGCCTTTATTATGCTGAGGTATTATGTATTTTAATTGTTGTAGGGTCTCTGTGTTGTAAGAGATCAGCCCTTATGTGTAAACTTAAGTTCTTCTCAGGTCTTTTCTGAACCTGCAACTTTCTCTGGGCAAGTGTGATGACTTCTGAAATTTCCACATAAAGCAGTTACTTTTGAATGCCCCAGTCCTTAAATGTCAGCCAAGCCTTTCCCTGAAAGCTGCAAGCCTTCTAATAGACTGCATAGTTTCAATATTGCCAGTAAAACTGTTGTCTAGGTGGAGGGACAGATTGCTGGAGCTTCCTACTCTACCATCTTCCCTGAGGTCTCCCTGTATTCCATTTTGGAAGAGCTTGTCATGAAAAGTATTTATATATTTATATAATTTATATGACTAGTTAAAGAAAAATGCCATGTTTTATAAAAATCTGTTTTCTAAAATTAATTAAATAAAAAGTGAAAACACTAAAATCTGAATTCAGTTCTCCTTCAACAAAACATCCCAATGAGAACAGGGTGCTATTGGTTGTACAAATTTACATCAGTGAATGCATTGTGCTGATGCGCCACAGCCAACTTACCAATTGAACTTGCTCCATATTCCCTCTCCAAAATTCCACATACGAGTAAATGGCAAGAGTAAAGTTTACCATTTCTCAAGAATTAGTTTAAAACTTTACTCATGCACTTCACATATTTTGGTAATCACTAGACAATCCTGCATTAACATACTAATTTGAGTCCTCATCAAATGACTTCTATGAGATGGGAACATCAATTTAATTTAGTGAATGTATTCCAGTATCATTTTGAAAAACTGTTACTACATTGTGTTGGCCATTATCATAACCTAATGAAATCATAACATGGCTATGTAGTCAGAATTTTAATTTTTAAGTATCCTTCATCCATATTTACTTATTTAACATAATAGACATCTCTTTTGCATAAAGGTCTATCTCATAATTGCCATTTCTCTGAGAACAGTCCCCAGTACTCACCGTCAAAATTCCAGGTTTAGGCCTTGTCTGCACTAAATATTCCTGACCTCCCATATTTAATCTACCCAGGGATGGGCATCTAACCTAACCTGGTCCAATCAAATTGCTTCCCCCAGGGTTTAAATCTTGAAGAATGCAGAGATGACTAGTTGTTGGACAGTCACACTATTACAGTGTTTGGGGAGAAACTTCACAAATTCATGCTGCTCAGGTCTTTGGAGATGTGCTGGATATTTCTCTTCTGACTTTTAGTTGTTTTATTTTTCCTTCAATACTGTGAGATAGCTCATTGTTCACTACCTGCCAGAAAATGCTTCTTTGTTGTACTTTGCTTTAAAATCCCAGATATTTTCCATGATGGTCTCATGAGATGACTTGTGATTGCTCTAAGACCTTCCAGACAATATAGTTTATCTTTGCCAGACACTCTATTTGTTTATCCATTCTTGCAACCGGAGTGGCCAGTTCTGACCAACAATATATAAGAGAAGTTTTGCAGGAAGGATTCTGGAATGGCTCTGCTTTTTTCTGGTCCCGAGTGCAGGCACTGTGCCTGGAACTGCAACAGCAGCAGCAAAATAAGGAGTAGAAAGAGAAAAGGGACCAGATCCTTGCTGGGCCACCCAAATCTGAGCTCACTGACTCTGGAATTCTTTGCACCACAGAAAAATAAATCCCTATTTCTTTAAGTTACCTTTTAGTCAGGGTTTTTATTTGCAGTTGCAAACATTCTTATCTAATGCTCTCTGGTAGGCTGAATAATAGTCCCTCAAAGATGCCCACATCCTAATCTCTGATACCTGTGAATATGTTGCCTTACATGGAGAAAAGGACTTTTCAAATGTTGTTAAGATTAAAGACTTTAGGATGGAGAGATTATTCTGGTCCAGTCTAAACATGTGAGTCCTTAAAAGTGGAAGACAATTCGAAGAGAAGAGTTGGTCAGAGAGATGTGGTGTGCAAAGGATTCAAGCTGCCAATGCTTTGAAGATGGTAGAAGGAAAACCTCTAGAAGCTGGAAATGGCCCTCAGTTCACAGCCAGTGAGAAAACATACATAGCCTTCCTACCATTGCAGGGACTGAATTCTGCCAACAAATCCATGAGGAGGAAATAGATTGTCCCCTACAACCTCCAGAAAAGAATGCAGCCTGCCAACACCCTGATTTTAGCCCAGTAAAACCCATGTCAGATACTAACCTATAGAAATGTAAGCTAATAAGGCTGTGTTGCTTTAAGATACTGAGTTTGTGGTAATTTGTTTAAAAAGCTTAATTTGTTTGTAATGATAATTCATGGTAATTTGTTGAAGCAGCAATAGGAAACTAATACATACATGTAGTATCATCTCAATAAATTTATCTCCCCTAGAACTTAAAAGAACCTCCAGTAATTCACAAATTCCGTTTTGTAGAATTAAACCCATTTATTCTCTGAATTAAAAGGGAAATATGCTTTCCCCAAACCTCTGGATCTGTGCCTAGCTGTGCCCAGCACTCTTTGTTTGGTTAGTCCATACTCTAAGAAGGCAAGGACACTCCAGATTGCTATCTGTTGTTCTTCAGAATTAGATCTGGAATTGTGGTTCTCTTTGTTGTTTCCTCCACCAACTTAGATGAACTCAGCCAAATGAAAGACAAATATTTAGCAGACATTCTTCATTTACCAGAATTGGAATCACAGTAGATTACTAGAAATGCCAATTGATGAAGTAAAAAACAAAAAGTTCTAATCTCTAATTCTATTAATTAGTTCAACATATGGGAACATTGTTCACAGTAAAAGTTAAAAATAATTTTGTTATTTAAAAATAGTCAGAATTCCATGTCGGGGTGTTCTGTGATTATCTCTAATGAAATGTAGCATAATGAGTAGTTATGCATAAAACAGAGAACGTTCACATTAGAGTAATGGTTAAGTGACAGTGTTCTGAAGCCAGTGCACACACTGCGTGGGTACAAGTATTACCCTTGATTATACACATGATTATGGGGAGTTACAGTCTTAACTTCAGTTTTTAATTAGTTAAAATGGGAGTATAATACCTGCATCACAGAACCATAAGTATTAAATAAGTTAATATATTTAAAATACTTAGAAGAGTTCTAGCCCATAATAAGTACTTAATGTTATATTTATTATTACTCAATGAACATATTATGAAGAAAAATTTTAAGTGAATATTTCAAGAATCTTTAATGAGCTTCACCATTCTGAATTGGCAAGACTATTTCATTTTACATTTGGACATAATTAAGGAATAATGTTACCAAAACAGTTGCTTTCTTACTGGTTCGGATGCTTTTAGCTTCAAGTGACATAAAACTCATGTGCTAAATGTCCTTAAACTATTAGGAAACATATTATTTATCCAGCAATTCTAGTTCCACTGCCTTTCCTTCTAATTTTACAACCAGTTTATTGATTTCTACAAAGAATCCTTCAGAGATTGTAAGTAGGATCATATTGAATCTATAGACAGACCAATATGGAAGAAATTTGATATTTTAACAATATTAAGATTTTTCATTCACGAACATGGTATACCTTTCTATTTGTTTAGATATTCTTTGATTGCTCTTATCAGTGTTTTGTTCATTTTAAATATGCAAACCTTGCAAATATTTCATTAGACTTACATCTAAGTATTCCACATTTATTGGTACTATTGTAAAAGTACCATTTAAAAATTTTTAATTTCCACTTTTTCATTGCCAATTTTTTAAAAACTGGTACTTTTACATTGATCTTGTATCTGTGACCTTGTTAAATTCATTTACTAGTTCTAGCAATTTGTTGTGTATTATTTAAGATTTTCTATGTAGGTAATCATTCATCAACAGAGACAGTTGTATTTCTTCCTTTTCAATCTGTGCTCTTTCTCCCATGCTCTTCTTTGGTGCATTGGCTAGGATCTCTAGTACACCAAGTAGGAGTGGTAAACATAGACATCTTTACCTTGTTCCTGCTCTTAAAGAGAAAACATGTGTTTTTCACTATTAGGGTTGATGTGAGCAGCTGGATAGATGCCCATCTTCAGGTTGAGAAAGTTCCTTTGTAATCTTAATTTTCTGAGAGTTTTACTAAGAATGAATGCTCAGTTTTGTCAAATATTTTATTCTGGATCTATCTAGATGGTCATTTTGTTCTTTAGTCTATTAATATGGTAAATTACATTGTTTAATTTTCTAATATTGAACCAACACTGTGCTAATAAACCTCACTTGGCTTTGATTTGTTTTACTTTTCATAGATTAGTGGATTTGGTTTGCCAGGATTTTTTGATTTGCCAGAATATTTTGTTCAGGATTTTTACAGCTACATTCATGAGTAAATTAGCCTGTTGCTTTCTTTTCTTGTATTGTCTTTGGTTTTGGTGCCAAGGCAATGCTGGCTTCACAGAATGGGTTAAGTGTTCTCTCCTTATTTTCTGGAGGACTGTAAAACTGGTACTAGTTCTTTGTTAAATGTTTGTGATATCTGCCTGTGAAGTAATCTGAGCCTGGGACTATTTTGTAAGATTTTTAAGTTTATTGTATGGTGATAAAATATATATAAAATAAAACTCACCATTTTAACTACATTTAAAGGTACAATTCAGTGGCATTAAGTACACTCATAATATTGTGCAACCATTACCACTGACCATTCCATAACTTTTTATCATCTCCAAACACTAACTCCTCATACCTCATTCCCCTATAACCTCTATTCTATTCTCTGTCTCTAAGAATTTGCCTATTCTAGGTGCTTCATATCAGTGGAGTCATACAGTGTTTATTGGGAATCTTGAGATGTACCATGTGCATTTATTCCACACCCACCACTTCCATCCTCTTTGGGTCACTCCTTTGTTTCACTTTTGTGACTCCCTCAGCTTTTCCTAGAAGACTGTCTTAATCATCTGTCACTGATACCTTCCCATCCCCCAACACTTATTACAGTACTTTATACAAAACTCCATAACTGCTTGCTTAAAAATTATTGAAATAATATGCTTATAACTATGACCTAATCATGGTTGTATTTGCTTATCTCTCATACCAAATGTAAGAAGAACAATAATTATTTTTAGAGGACTCAACCTATTGTGATTTCTGTTGTAAGATACTTAACAAAAATTCTTATGTAATGTGGCTCTACCTTTTCTACTTAGATAGCCCAGAGGCATCTGAAATATGTGTTCAAAGAGCATAGATCATTTTCTCACAAAGTCTGTTCCTCTTGTGTTTCCAGGATTTGAGGGTGGCACCACCACACATGCAGTTTCTCAGGCTAAGAACCTGGGAGCAGCCCTGTGCTCCTCTCTCTTCCCCACTTCTTACATCCAATTAGTCTTCAAGTCCTGTGAATGCTTTCTCCTCTTTTCCTTGACCAGCTCCCTTTTCTGCATCCCACTAGCCAATCTCTATTTAGGACTCTCACCATTTCTCACCTGTCTTCTACATAGGCATTTTAGCTGATCTCCCCATCTTCAGTCTCATCTTGTAGACTATGACATTACTCCCAATGCCCTCAAGATGCTCATTCTAAAATCCACATTCTTCAGAAACACCCTGTGGTCTCTGAGGAGTCCAAACCTCCTGACATGGCAAATGGCCATATCTCTGATCTGGCCTTGCCTCCTTGCCAACCACGTCTGGCCTCTCCCCACTCTGTGCTCTGTACCCTCACCTTGGTAACCACCTCAGGTCCCCAAAGTTGTCACTGTCTCTCCTGACAACATGCCTCTGTGTCTAGCACATTTTCTTCCAGAGCCAGCTGATGATTGTACCCACAGGGATGCAACCAGGCCTGGGAGCTTTTGAGCAGGGAAAGTCTGAGTGTGAAAGCTGACCTAGCCATTTATTCAACCTATGAACCTAATTTTATCTGTAAAAAGGGTTTTTCTTAAACTTATTTTTAATCTAAATATACTTTATTATCTAGAAACAATCAATAAAAAGGGTCTGGTGGTAAAAAATGATAACACCAATAGCTTTTATTATGGCCCATTAGGATTCTGAGTACTTTATTCACATTAATTCATTTTTTATTCTAGGTTTAGTTCAAGAGTCACCTCCTCTGTCTAGCCTTTCTTGCTTTCTCAAGACTTGATTAGATGTCTTTGCTGATCATTTTCTATTTGTACCCCAGAGTCATTCTTATCTTTCTCTGTCCTACAGCTGCCCTAGAAGACTGCACCTGTACCTATGGAGCACATCGCTTGGCTCCTCTGCTGGCTGCCAGGTGGGTTTGGCATTTGGGTGAGGTCAGAGAGCTCGAGAGAAAGGCTAGGGTATCTCCTCCCCACAGTCTCCCAGATCAAGTCCCATTTATGACAGAAGTTGCTTCCCTTTCTGTACTGGTTTGCTAGGGATGCTCCCATAACAAAATACTACAGTCTGGGACAGCAACATCCCTTATTTCTTTAAATGACAGAGTTTTTTCTCATAGGTCTGGAGGTTGGAAGTCCAAGATCAAGGCGTCAGTAGCGCTGGTTCCCCTGAGGCCTCTCCTGGCCTTGCAGATGCCACCTTCTCCCTGTGTCCTCATGGGGTCTTCCCTCGGTGTGGGTCTGAGTTCCTAATTTCACATAAAAGACACCAGTCAGATTGGATTAGGGCTCACCCCCATGACCTCACTTTAACTTAATCACCTCTTTAAAGGCCCTATCTCCAAATAGTCACATTCTGAAGTCCTGGGGTTAACACTCCAACATATGAATTTTAGGAAACACAATTCATCCCTTAAACCCCCTCTCCATACAACTATAGCTTGAATCAGGTGGCCTGCTGCCACAGCTCCAGCTCTTCCTCTGCCCTACAGGCCAAGGGATGGCAAAGTTTCCCACTGTACTCATCTCCCACTGCCTCGGCAGCTACTTTGGGCTTTCTCAATCTTGATATACCTTTCAGGAAGGGATTCTGCATGTGGTTGCTGGATTGGCTCCAGCTTTTTGCTGAGATATGATGCAGTGCCTTCTCTGAGCAACCCTAGCCACCTTCTGTCTCCTGCCCCAACATTAAGCACATAATATGGCAACTGTCTGACTCCTTGCCCACGTTCCTGATGGAACTCCAAGTTCCCTGGGGGCAAAAATCATGCCTTTTTATTTTTGCATCCTCAAGGCCTAGTCAGGTGTCTAGCATAGAGCAGGTGCTCAATGCTGTAAAGTATAATCGCTGACCATGCCCCCTGCCCCACTTTCCCCAGCACCTCTTTTCAGTCTTACTTCTTTATTCCCTAACACGTTGTCTCTAGATGATAGGAATAGCTGCCTAATGGATCTCACTGCCCCTCATCGCCCTGACATCCAGCACAAAGGACAGATTACTCTCCCTAAAGTTCAGTTCTCAGAGAGATGAGGCAGGGAGGGCATCCACTCTCAGCCTGGACCTGCCTTTACTCTGTCATGCTCCCGCTAAGCATATCAGCACCACGCACTTGCCAGCCAGAAGGTACCTTGGCTGCCAGGCTCTGTGCTGCTGCTCACATTTCTCCATCCACCTGAAGTAGCTGTTCCTCTTACCTTTGGCTGGAATCTCATCCAGCCTTTTAGTGGTGAACCTCCAAAGCATCACTATATCATGGTACTGACCCACCAAAACAAAAGCAGCCTGGAGTAGGAGCAGGGTTAAAGTCCTGAAGGCTCTAAGATGTGTGGGGGTCAGCCTTCTCATTGCTGGGTAGTGGGAAGGTGGAATCCTGGCAGGGGCCTGGATACCAAGGAGGGTTCTGGTACTGCTTATCTGTGTGGCCCTAAGAAATTACCTGATGTTGCAGTGCTTCAGGTGCCAGGTGGCTTAGACTAGAATGATCATCTTCACAGGCCTGTCAAGTTCTACAAGTCACTTTTCTTTATTATAGTCAAATTTGGTTTACTGATTTAGCTCATTACCAATAAACTATCTCTTAAGGCCCGCTTTCCTCAAGAAATGTAGGAAAAAAAGGTTTCCCTCCACAAAGCTGAGTATTTCCCAAGCCTGTGTATGTACATATGATTGTGCTGCTTTTATTTATTTGCAGGTTCTCTAACATTCAAAGGCTTCCCTTGAAAATGGTACTTGTGAGAATCCCATAAAGGGCAAGGTTAAGGGTGGGGATGTTAAGAGGTGAGAAGCTACTAAAAGCAGTTTTGTTTTGTAAGCAGGAGCCAGTCTGGTACTGCCTTTATCATGTCTGGCCATAAGGCACCTGCATCATTCTCTATATTACAACACTTCTGGGAATGATGCTTTATGAAGCAAGAGTCCCAGAAGGTGGCACTTAGACAGGCCAATCTTATAATCCTGGCTCTAAATAACTGAAATTATTGTGCTTGAAACACATGAGTGTGTATGTTTGGAAATAACTTGCATAGCAGAAATACAGAACTATAGGATGCTATTTCTATAGAAAAGAACAACCAGCTGAGGCAGCTCTAAGAGTTCTCTCTTCAAAGCTCCCAGAGCAGGCTCTTTACAGACACAGACTATATCACATGGAAATTACTTATGCAAAAGTTCCTCTTTCCCATGGACTTATAAATAAATGCAAGTTAAATGAGGGGGCAGTGTTTTTATTTCTGCATCCTCAGCTTCTGGCACAAAGGCTATGGCATGGTAGGTTTTCAATAAATGTTGGCTGAATGAATAAAAAAGCCACCTCGATGCTTAGAGATGGGATGTGCACAAGGACACTGGGGCCATGTTACCTGAAGAGCAGTGACTGTGCAGAGGACAGCAGGCAGCTGGGGTGTTCAGAAAAGAGAGATTAACCAATGTGCTTGTGTACTCAAAACCCTCTACTTTATGAAAATCTAACCACTCTTATAAGAATGTCTATTTCCTTTGAAATAAATACTTTTCAAGCATTATGATCTTTTCAATTTAATATTATAAGGAAAATCTAGTAGGTTCTCATGGTTCTTCTGATATAGTTTCTAGGGAAAATACTCAACTGGAATCTACCCCAACTATTAAATTGTTTTGGGAAAGATCAAAATGTATCTTTCTCCAGGGAGAAATACTGACATTGATTTTTCTTTAGCCCACATCTCCCTTCTGGAAAGTATCAACTGCCTGCCACAACTTCTAGGGAGAGACCAGTTACTGCCCTGTACACACAGCAGCTGATCACTGCCTAGCCTTGCCCAGGAATGCCAGACAGCTGATCCTTTTCTACATTTCACACATGGACCTATTGGTAAATAAAGAGGAAGGTGTTTAAATGATAACTAAGTATTTTTTCTAATTTAAAGCTAATGTGTATTTTCCTAAAATACACCATCGCTCTAGGGTAAGCAGTTGTCCTGGATGCCCAGGACTAAAGGGCTTTCTAGGAGACAGGACTTTCAGTTTTAAAAGCAGGGAAATGCTGGGCAAACTGGAATAAGTTGGTCACCCTCATAATAGATGCTTTATACCAAGTCAGAGAACCAAATTGTCCCCTCTTTTTATGTGATGACTAAACATCTTAGAAATAAGAAATTCTACAAAGTTAAAAAGAAGAGAATGTGACTGATGCAAACTAACCATCTATTTCTCTAGGAGCTGCTAAAGAGGGCTAACAGATTATTGTCCTGACCCTGTGAAACTGTTACACTTAATAACTAGAAGAGAGCATAGTCTGTTTAAAGTAATTCTGCTGACCACTTGGTTAGACATGGTACCTTGGCAAGTCCTGTGGTAGCTATATAATCTTAGGAATCAGAAGCAACATTTAAACTGACTCTGAAGTTCTAGAGTTGCTAATATTCCAGAAAAGGAAAAAGACAAAAACAAAACCACACACACTTTTATAGCAAAAAAGCTTCATTCCATAGCTTGAATAAAATAACTACAAGGCAGAGAGCTTCCTGTCCCATTTGCTTGGTTGTTACAGCTGCAAAAAAATAGTGAGATTTTAAAAGTGAAAGCTCATCTTAAGTTGTAAATATTTTTAAATGCATTGCAGTGAGCAAAGCAGTCCTCACATCACTCTGTCCTATCTATCAGTTGTCTATCTTTCTACTCATCCATTGATCTTGCCCACATGTTGGGCTGCCCTACGAAACCTCAACAAGCAGGAGGGCGAACTGCCACTTAAAAGTCACAAAGCTTTTGTCTGTAAAGATAGAGATCTCATGTCACCTTCAAGACAAAAAGCTGCCTTTGACCAGGAAAAAGTACCATCATGTACCCTTTAATTACAACAGAGGCAAAATAAGCACCCCCTTGCATTTTGGAGCAGAATAGAGGAGAAATTGATGTCATTACAAAGCCAAATAAAAATGTTTGTAGATGTTCTAGTCATATAGTGCACAAGTTGTGCATTGCTGAATCGGGTCAGACGTTGTCTCCAACTTTCTTACCCTTTTTAGAAGTTACTGAGTACATGAGAGTGAGAGAAAAATAGGCCTTCCCTCCCTGTGAATCAAGGGCACCTCATGCGGCAATCCCATCATCTCTGCAGCTGCAGGTTCTGCACTGGGCACCTGTGCAGACCTGAAGGGGAAGCCCAGCATAGAGAGAATACCCTGATCAGATGAAAATGGTAAAGCAGGCTTTTGACTAACATGCTGGAGCTCTAGGTGAGATGTCGGCTGAGTGGGCATGTGGTCTCCACAGACCAAAAGGGGTTCAAGGAGAAATCCAAGCACCCTGGTCTGTTGTTGAGCCTGAGTAGTGCTTTATTTATGATGGTTTTCTCATAATGCACAGGGTTTTGTTGATGAATGACTAATCAAATTAATGATAAATATTAACAGATGTAAAACCCAACAGAGTGTTAAATAGGGACACCATTCTGTCATATGAAATGGATTTCCCCTCTCACAGTGAAATTTCTCTTGGGACATTCCATTCTCTGAGGAAACCCCTGCTTCTGCAAGGCCCCCACCCAGACAAGATGTAATGCCTTAGATCCAGTTCAATTTCTGTTTCACAAAAAGGGTGAAAACAAACAAACAGAACGAACTAATAGAGAGCTCTTCACTAGGGAAGAGCTCTAAAGGAACATTCAGCAGAGGGCCACAGGCTTTCGGAGGCCGCTGTCCTTGCCCTATCATGTCTCAGAGCCAGGACTTACTTGGCCGGCTTGCCCAAGCCTTCACATGTGTGCTGTCTCCGGCCTCTGCAGAAATCTGAAGCAGAAGTGAGCCCCCAGAGGGTGGCTGGCCATGCAAAAGGATGAGCTCCTCTAACCCAGTTCACTTGGAGAACCATCTCACCCTCTACTAGATTGCAGGCTGTGGGCCACCGAATAGAGTTTTAAGAAGCTTTGGAGACCATAAGCACAGCACTACATAGAAAGCAGCTGGTCACAGATCCTGGCTGTGTCTCTTTGTGCCCAGGTGAGTCAGGGTGAGAAAGAAAGGCCCAAGTTGTCTCTTATACCAGTCCTGTCAGACACAGATTATAAAGACCACTATCCTACTGACTCTAAAAAGATATAAGTGGTTCACATGTCAGCAGGTATTTTGTGCTGGGATCATCAACTATGAAAACTTAAGGAACCTGTTGTCTCAGGCAGATCTTCCTTGCAGAGCTAAGGAAGTACATTGGTCAAGTCAATCATTCCTGATAAGGAAAATAACTGTATTTAGCCTGCAAGATGGATATTCATAAACCAGGAATGGTTTCTTAACCAAAGCTCAAAGAACAACATGCTGTCAAGGGTGGAGCTACGGAAGTCCTGGGCTCGGCTAACTATGGCTGCAGCTGCAAATGAAGGGCAGAGGACCCACTCCCCCTTCCTCTCTATTGCCCCAGTGTGCACTGCATCCATTCCAAAAACAAAGGACAATGGGACTTTGGTCACTCCTAGATCCCAGAGCCATCCCACACAGAAACTGCATCGCTCTCAAAAAGGAGAGATAGGTAGCTGTGGTGTGGTGGAGTATCTGGCATGAATTATTTGAGAGCTTCACGCACGGACAAATGCAACAGACTCGTGGCTGTGTTTTCTTTCCTTAATCAACAAACATCGCAATGTTTCCCCACATACTAGGAATTATTTTAAGTTCTGGATGATACTACAATTGACGACAACTGGCCCCACCCTTGCAAAGCTTACTTTTGAAAACTTGGTGTTTCGACAACACACAGACATATGTCTTATGACTGTAGGCCAGAAAGTGTCACCTTCCACCCAATTTCTAGGAACCAGAGCTTTGTCTTATTTCCCCTGTGCCTGAGGCTCTGCTCTATAACTCCATTCCTCCCCCACTGGCCTTGCATGCTCTGCCAACCTTCCCAGGAATGCTACATGCTGACAATGTTCATTGACTCCCAACTGCATGCCTGCCAGCATATGTCCATTTACCTCCAGCCAGAAATTTCCAACCCTGTCTCTCTGCCCTGTTCACCTACCTGAATATCCATGCCTCCTGTCTTGCCCTGACTCCATCCTCTCCAGATGCCTGTGCTCTGAGATCCAAGCTCCCCAAACTTCCCAAGCAGAAGGAGGATACCATGTTCACCATCTAGCTTGGAGGGCTGGAAATTGGTGGTCTTTTAAAGGCTGAGGTCACCAGGGGTCCCATCTCATGGTCATGCAGACCTGCAGGGCCCCAAGTAGACCAGATCCTCTTTCTGGACAGTTCTGGAGAAACAGAGATGTTTTGTGCTTTTGCTTTGGTAGTTCTAGACTCCACCCTTCTTCTTCTTTCCACAATTCATTAGGTTCTAGCTTTGTTTTACTTTCAGTCATGCTTTGGCTAGATGAGCTCTCCATTTTAACTTCTTGTTCATAATTTATTCTTATTAACAAAGTAGCTTAAGATTTTGGAAAAGGACAAACAATATCTACTAGTATAGATTTAACTGGTTATCTAGTGGAAGAAAGAGGGAATGAGTGGTAGAAAGAAAGAGAGAGATTTCTTCCCTGACAGATGTCATCCCTGTGGCTCCATTGTACAGATAATAGTAGCAGGAGGTACATTTTGCTTTCCAAGGGCTGGAGACATTCCTGGTTGTCAATTGAAGGGGGGCTACTGACAACTAGTTGTAGAAGGCAGTGATACTGCTAAATATCCTCCCTCCTACCCCTGCTCCCAATTATCCAACCTTTGGTGTCAGCAGTGCCAAGGGTGAGAAACTCTGGGTCACAGTATGTTCAAAAGGCCAAGGAAGATTACATAACTACTACTCACTTGGGCAGAAATTTATCTCAATTCTCTGAAATTATCAGTAACACTCTTAATGCTCTGGCTGACTCTTGTGGTTGAGCTTCTACTTGTGGGCTTTTACACACTCCTACGTTAAAGTTCACCACTAACCACTTTGATAACTTAACCAAATGTGTATGGACTCAGCAGGACCACATGACCAGTAGACCAATCCTCATTATGCACACACGAAGGCTTTACTTGTTCGGGAGTTGTTGCCAAAATTTGTAGTGTTGGCTATGCTGAGAGACAGGAAAATGACAGGAAGGAAAGTGGAAGTAAGAATCTTACATGGAGCGAAATTCTACCAGGCCTATGATGCCTTAAACATTTTATGAATGAAAGAATGAAAATGGATGGGTTCTACTTTAGATGTTAAACATGCCTGCTTCCTCTAGGAGTTCTCTTCTTCCCATAATCAGGAGCTACAGGAAAGAAAAGAAGAAGACAGGAAGGAGCATGGAAATGGACAGGTCACCTGTTCAGCATGATAGCTGAACCTGAAAATCTCTGAGTTGGGACTGGGAGAGTGAAGAGAAGGGAAACCAGGATTATTGCCACATTGGATTAGACTTTCCCTTTTCCTTTAGCCACAGAATTGCAAGATATGACAAACTAATATTTGCTTAGTTATGATGGAGAGAGGTGGGGTTGGGTTCCAGAATAGAGTGGAGGGGGTGCAGGAAGACAGTTTCTTATGGACAACTCACATTCTCACCCTCCCCCCACAAAACACACACACGCAGAACAAGTTCTAGAAACCTGACTCTTCTGAGTTTTGGTTTCTTTTTTTCTCATTTAACCAAAAAGAAAAATTTGAGGATTTGAAATGAGCTCTGGGCATGTGGATCTTCTAGGACCATAATGAATGTGGGCCAGAGTGCCAATTTTGCCTGTCTGGAGATAGGCATGGTAGGTTCCAAGCCTAGGAGAGATTGTTAAGCAGATGATCTGAGCTAGAAAAGTTTATAAGAAGTGAGTAAGAGAAAGGAGATGTTCCAAATGGACGGCAGAAGAAAAATTGGGTATGGATCTGTCATTCATGGGCAAGTACCAATTTACGAACTGATTGTGTTCTTGAAGGCTCATTTGACTGCTAGAAGCAGTAACATACAAGTAGTGTGGAGGGAAAGAGGAGAAATAGCTCATTGCTGGATACCTTCAAAAAACTCACAGTTCAACACTCTCATTTTAAGGAGGAAAAACTTGTTCAGAAATGTTGATCATCTTGCACAAAATCATTCTCAGATTTAGGAACAGAGTTGGTCTTGGGTTTCCCCAGGCAGTCCACTGCTCATGCTGTGTTGTCTATAAGCAGGAAGGCAGCAAAAATAATGATTGGGAAGAGCAGAGAGGTAGGATGGGAGTAAATGGGAGGAGGGAGGAAGAAGAGGAAGTGAAGATGGCATGAAGAAACATTCCCGAAGGGGGAGGAAGGGTGCTGCCCAGTCTGGGTCCCATCCTACCTGCAGGAGACAATATGGGTGCACACTTAGCAAGGGCTCCCATGTGTGTGGTCCTGGTACCCACTGTTGACCAGAAGATGAGGGATACAAGGAGAGAAATGAGTAAGATAGAGCCTGCAAGTTCTTTTTCAAACTGTCAGCATTCCTCAGAACCTCACTACTGTCTAGGTGTACACTCCATTTACATAAAGTCTGTTCTGGACATGACCACTACTTATGCCCAGGCCCCTTGGTGGGCCCACAGCCTGTGCCCAACCCTTTGCCAATGGCTGACAGGGTGGTATGGTGTCATGCAAGTTCCAACTGGACCTCTGATCTTCATTTCAATTCTGTGTGCATGCAGGAACATTATTATCCAGAGAAGATGGCTAAAAGACATATTTAGCAGTTATGTACCTTATTTATAATGTTTATCATTTTTATAGCTATTAATAAATTTTCAGAAACTATTTTTTAACCACCTGGGAAAAATAAGTGGCAAATCATTCTCATTTGTATGGACTTTTCTTCTTAAACACTTCTCTGTGGCTTGTTCAACATTTATTGATTTGCTTTTGGCTATTGACTCTTTATTTTTAGCTCATGTGTTTCAAAATGCTCTGTAGCCACAGAGGTGAGTAGAAACCCATGGAGCAAAGTGATGGTGGTGAACAGGCTTTTATTGGTTATCAGGGAGGGGCTGGGTCACAATGCCATGTGACACTTTGAGTGTGTGTAAGTGAATGAAAACAGTGGTTCCTTAGTGTTTGGGGATAGGGTGTACCTAACAGGATGGGATGGGCAAGGAAACTTGCAGAGACAAGCCTGTCCTTGCTGGGTGGGAGAGAGCCAGGCCTCTTCATAGGCATCTGAAGCTCCTCCCTCCCAAACCAAGCCAGAACACACTCCAGTCTGTTTTCTGGTTGTTGCTTAAATGTGTGAGTTTAGCTTCAAACTGATTGTAAAAACAATCATTATGATCTCTCTGCACATTTATTTGCTATTTTCTGTAGGCTCCTAGTGCTGCTAACTGGCCTCAAACAGAATTGAGCCCAGGGAGCTGACAGCTGCTAATCGCTGCTAGAACATGTTAAAAATAGTGCCAGTGCTCCTAAATTAGCAAGCTTTGTGGTTCTGAAAAAAGCAGCAAGCACCTTGTGGTAGGTAGGTAGTGGTGCTGGGATATATTAGGGAGCAAATATCTGTAAGAGTTATTTAGTGAGTGATTAAACTGCTTTCATGGGGAGAGGAAGGATGTCTTTGTGTTTGAGAGTAGAGTTTAGGAGAGATTCTTAGAAGTAGAATTGCTAGGTGAAAGTGTTTACAACTAGAAATTGTTATAAATACCAATCAAACTCAGTACTTCTCCCAACAGTTAGTGAGAGTTTTATCCTTACTCATAGAAAGTTACTTTCTTTTAGAAGGACATGTGTGCACAACTTTAAGAAAGTACTTAAAACGCGTACTAAGTCTCTACCATTTTCTAAATATTTAGTGACCTTGTGATGCCTCACAGCTGTGGGGCTCTTGCTGTGTGCCTACAGCCGCCCACGTGTCTCCTCACGAGGGAGCTGGCTGTGTCACTGCCTCCTGCACTGATCAGTTCACCAAGCATTATCAAACACTTACCAGGTATGAAGTGATGATGGTGCAGTGAGTCCACAAGGAGCTGGAAGGAGGGGTTGCATCCATACAGTTGCACACTGTGGATCAGCTCATGCAGTACACAGACTAGCGGTAAGTGTGCCCCATGTGCAGGGGACCTTAGCGGGAGTCTAGTGGGGAGATATGTCCTGATCGTCAGAGGTTCAGAGGCAGGGAGCAGGTCCTGCAGAGTGGAGGAAGCTGCGCTGGCACCTGGTTACCCCACAGCCCTCAGACCAGACATTTGCCCTAGGACACATTACACAGCCCGGATGGAAGAGGGGATGAGAAGGTCAGCCCTTGGGTTATGGGAAGGGTTGAGCCAGACAGCATGGCTGACACAATCAGTTTGGTTCCTGGGACGTTGGGGGTCAGCCACTTCGGGCTCTCCTTGTTCTCCCCATCTATGAAATGGGAACCACATACCTACTTGGGACTGTTGTGGGAAGGAGAGAGATACTCCTTCAGCAACCACACCTAGTCAGGTGTGCAGTAGGTGCTGATCAGCATTAGTTAGAAGTAGGGAAGCCTAAGGTGAGGGGATCATGACCTGGACTGTTGTCTGTTCTTTAGCCTGATGTCACAGGTACTCATTTTCTTCTCTTTTTAAATCATAATAATGCATGTGTACTGTAACACAACAGCCCATACACAGGTGTATAAAGAAAAATTAATGGAAACAAATTCTGACTTTCTGAGAGGTCTTTGTTTTTCAGAGTGTGGATTGGCACTGCTACCCACTGAATGGTCTTTCTCCCCTCTGCCTTCCCTTACCCTCTTCCCCTTGTCTCCCTTCCCTTCCCTCCTTCCTCCTTCCTCCTTCCCTTCTCTCCTTCCTTCCTTCTGGTGGGATCCTTTACATGTCACTCTGCAGCTTCTTTTTTTTCTTTGTAACTTAGCAATGAATCACAAACAGTTTTACAACACCCGGTTATTTTTCCACCTCAACAAAAACCCACAAACAAACCACCCCAGCTTCTGGGACCTGGCCTTTGACGAGAGCCTCATTGTTGAGGAGCCTGTAGCTGGCAGCTGGTTCTGCCCAGATGCTGGAGGGAAGGTGGGAGTGCAGCTCAAAGAGAAACTCCTCCGTAGGCCCAGAGGCTGGCGTTAGCTACTTCCTCATAGCCTGGCTTGCAGAAGTGGACGCGAGCTGACAGGGAGCCCTCGGTGTTTGAAGACATCCATAGAAATCTAGAACAGTGGGAAATGAGCTCAGGCACTGTGTGCGTGTTCTGGTGATGCATGTGGACCCACGTTTGCTCTCTCACAGCTTGTGTTCTATGTCTGCCTGTGAGGATGGCTGTGGTTCCCAGTGGTGGACCCCAGATGAGCTCCCCTGTGTGTGGTGGTCTGCTGTTGGCTTAGGAGGGCTGGTGGTAGGGAGGAGTGAGCATCAGGTGGTGAGCAAGCACTGGGATTCAGTTGTCTTTGAAGTAAGTTATATACTTGGAAACATTCAGAGGTGGCGGAGGTTGAGGCTCATACCACAGCCATGGGGCTTAATCTGGTCCTCATGATAATGATGATGATGGCAACGACAACATTTACTACATGCCAGTCAGCTACTGTGCTAAGCATGTTATATCCTTTAGTATTTCCAGCATCCCTTTGAGGTGGTGCTCTTACCATCTTCCCACTTTACAGCTGAGAAAAGTGAGGTCTAGAGAAATTTGCCCAAGGTCAGCACCAACAAATGTAAGAGCCAGGATTTGGCAAAGAAGGGAGCAGGTAGGAACTGCCCAATTGTGGCTCTCAGCCCTGGTTGGAAATGTATCCAGTTAAAGGTTGAACCTACTAGCAGCTAATTTATAACTAGAAGTTATGATGATATATAATAATTTATAACTCTTAAAGCCACTAAGTGAATTCCACAGTAGGAAATAAACTACAAAACAGACAGCAATCTCTTGCTTATCACTAAGTAGGTTGCCAACTTGGGAGGCAAAAGTTATTTGGAGAATGATTCAGAAATGGCCAGGGATTCAGGTTTGGAGGAGAGGGAATTGGGTCCCTCCTCCCTCTTATCCTGCACGGCTGTGCTCTTGAGTTGACACATCAGTGCCCCAGGGCTCCTTGTTTTAGACAGCCATTACCAAACAAGTCCTTCCTGACAAATGTCTGTTCTTGTAGAGTGCTGCTTTTGATGGTGTTAATTTCTAGTGTTTCCTCCCAAATACTTTTGATGATCTTATTCAGAGGCATTTTTTATCGACTTTGCCAGACTAGCTTATTTCCCATGGCCGCCCTGACATCCCCCACATCTCAGGACTGGGTACCCCTGTTCATCTTTCGTACCAATATGAGCTATAGAACGCTGAGTTCCTATCCTAAGGATGGCTGCACTTTACCCTTGAGGATGGTATCATCCAAGAATCCGCCTGCTGCCTCCTGTTCTCCCCAGCAGTGGGTGGGATCTTTCTCTGAGCAGAGCAGAGAACACTGCAGCAGCGGAGGTGAGGAATAGGTTAGGTGTTTCTCTTTAAGTGCTCCTACTGTGTGAAGGTGACGTTTGCTCCTTCAGAGGCCAAGTGAGGCCTCAAGGAGGAGGAGGAAATAAACAGAGGCAGGCATCAAGAAGGAACAAGAGTCTAGGCTCCTGGGGAGCTTCTAGGAGAGAGAGAAAAAGAATATACTTAGGTTGGGATTGATTGTTTGACTTATTACTGCAATTTATATTGAGTTTTGTGAACAGTATTTTTAAAATTTTGTTTTTTCCCAAGTATAAGAGTAATGTGGGGTCATCAGTTAAAATTAAATTAAAATCGTTTAAATTCAAAGATGACAGAAATGTGTTAAAGTGAAAACTTCCCAAAACACCACATCCCAGAAAAACTATGGGCAGCATTTATCTTTCCAGATTTTTTTTTTCATGAATCATACCCTGCAATCTTCCCATGGGTTTCATTAATACTGACTTGTTGCATTTATGAATGCAAATGGCTGTGAGTTGTTTTCTGGCTTAGAAATTGTACATGCCGCAGTGGGGGAGGGGCACAATCGGCAGCAGGGCAAAGGTCTTCCCTGCAGGCCCTCCAGGGTTCCATGGCACAGTACACACAACCTCTGTGCTTCTTACTTAGGGGCAGGTTTGGATTATGTAGATGTTTGCTGGACCTGGGAATCTGCATTTCCATTCTGTTCCCAAGGGATGCCATGCTGCTGCTTGGCAGACCCGGGTTTGAGAAGCAAAGACTGCGTTCTGCCCCTCTGATTTTGTGCTCAGGGAGAGCTGGCATGAAACTCCCAGACTTGTGCCTGTGCACATGAGCAAGTTGTTAACCCTGTGGCCAAATTGTAGAGTTGCATTCACAGATGGTACCATGACACTCAAGGTTGTCGGCAGCTGTCCAGAATCATCAATAATGTGTCGTCCTGCAGAATAAAAGGACTCAGGTCATTGATTCTCCAGTAGCAAGTGTGCACTCTCAGGGAGGTAGAGGGAGTATGCTTGTGGAAGGGGGTGATCCTGCTGTGGCCTGTCTGTGGGGACAGTGCTTTGAGGGAGTAGAGAAGAGCTCGGAGCCACTGTGTCATCCCAGGGTCACAGCCGTGTTCTTTGGGGTCCATCCATCAGGTGTTTCATTTGTGGTACTGAATCATCTTTTGTTAAAAAATGTATAAATTTGGGGGTGGAGCCAAGATGGCGGCGTGAGGAGAGCAGCGGAAATCTCCTCCCAAAACCACATATATCTATGCAAATATAACAAAGACAACTCTTCCTAGAATAGAGACCAGAGGACACAGGACAACATCCAGACCACATCCACACCTGTGAGACCCAGCACCTCACGAAAGGGGTAAGATACAAGCCCCAGCCTGGCGGGACCTAAGCACCCCTCCCCGAGCTCCCAGTGGGAAGAAAGGATTTGGAGCAGGGAGGGAGAGGGAGCCCAGGACTGCTAAACACCCAGCCCCAGCCATCCGGACAAGAGCACAGACACAGTACATGTAGGGGGTCCTGGATACTAGGGAAACAGGACAGCAAGACCGGTGAGGGGGGTCACTGAGGCCAGCACCATAGGACAAAGAAAACGAAGCGGCTTTTTTTTAAAAATTATTTATTTAATTTTTTTTTTTTTTGGAAAGTGCTTTTTGGAA